CTGTCCTCTCGGACTCACACGCCTGATGAAGTCAATCAGGTACTGCTGGAGGCCTCTGCACTGTTCTTCCCCAAACCACGGCCTCAGCAAGCTCCTGAAACTGCTCAGCACCGTGCGACGCTGCGAATGTGGAGTCGAGTCGCTCATATTCGTTCTTTGCATGAGGACTCCATAACCACCTTATCCGACCTAGATCAGTCTTTGGAGGACCTGAATCGATGGCATAAGCAGGCTCTCTACTTAGCCAAGAAGGAACGACACCGAGCTTTCCAGGCTGAGGTCGATGAGGCGTGTGCCAGGCACGATTCTTACATCGCACACAAGACCCTCAAGAAGCTCCGACCTTGGGAACCTCAAACTAAGGCACAGCTTCAGGGGCCGGACGGTCTGCTGCTGGATTCTTCCTCTGAGCTTCGCCTGCTTCGAGACCACGTGGAACAGGTCTTTGCCAGACATCCGCCTCTTGATCACCAGGTGGACTCGCTACCGGAAATCCCGGCTGGTCTGCTGGCAAAGCACATAGGCTCAATAAGACCGCACAAGGCGGTACCGCAAGGCTCTGCTCCTGCGGCTGCCTGGCGGCTCTGCTCGGCGGCTGCGGGAGAGGCGTTAGCAGCAACGCTGCAAGCTCGGGGGCAACGCCCATCGCCGGCTGCTGAAGTACTTCAGCCGCCCTTAAAGGATGCTGACTTGTGTTTTATCCCAAAGCCTAACAAGCCGGCCACGAAGCCTGGCAATCTACGTCCCCTCGGCATCATTCGACCAGACGGCAAGGGCCTGGCGGGGGCTTGCAGAGATCAGCTGTCTCCCTACACGGCTGACTATCTTCGGGATCTCCCGCAATTTGCCTACCAGCCGAATCGCGGTCTTTCAGATGCCTTGAGCAGGGTCGTGGGTCATGTCACTCAGGTACGCAATGACTGCCAGGAGGCCCGACGAACCAGGCATCAACTTCACTCTGGGCAAACTCGTCCCTAGCTAGTAGGTGGTATCTGCTTTGCATTGGACTTGTCACAAGCCTTTGACATGGTGAGCAGGACAGACTTGCTTAGCACACTGCAGGACGCGGGAGTCCCGCAGGACCTCATTGACCTAGTTGCCTCATTGCATGCTGGCAGTGCTTACACGTTTCGCACCCAGGGCGAAGAGGACACGGTCCAGTCCACTGCGGGCATTAAACAGGGGTGTAAGCTTGCCCCCACACTTTTTTCCATGCTTACGGGCACCATTTTCCGGGAGCTCATAGCTCTTGTTGGAGTTCGAGCGGTAGTGGACTACCTCACGGGCTATGCAGACGACCTTACGGTTCATCGCGACATCCACTCGTTGGAGGACCTGGGTCGCGCTCATGCTCTGATTGAGCAACTGTTGCAGTTGGTCCGCAGCCATGGTTTTGCTGTCAATGGAGCAAAATGCACTGTCATGATTAAACTCGAGGGCCAACAGGCGCAACGCGCCATCTCCAAGCACACTTATTGGCGCACCGCGCCTGACGGAACCCGCCATAAGATGTGGAGACTGGGAGAGTCCAAGTCTCACGAGGGCTTTCCACTGGTGACGTCCTTTAAGTATCTCGGCGTCATGCTCTCCTACTCCAATTTCGAGAAGGCCACTCTCAAGTTCCGCTTGCAGGAGGGCAATGTGAAACTGCAGCAGGTACGCCGCTTTGTAGACGAACGGCGGGGCCAGCATCGCGGTTGCACATTTGGCATAGCACTGTCTGGGCCACAGTAGCCTCAGGATTGGTGGATGTGGGCTTGACCCTAGAGACAGCTAAACTGTTGCGGGCTTGGCACGCTCGCAAAATCCGGGCTGTCCTGAACAAGCCAGCGCACCTGACACACATATCCACAGCTGACCTCTATGCCTCCCATGAGATCATAGACCCTGTCCGTAAGCTGCAGGCGCGACAGGCCAATCGGGTCAAGCGCTTAGGTACTCGACAGCGGAAGACTCCTGCTGGGGATATCTCTTTAACTCAGCGAGCGCTCCTCCAGGCGGAGGCACTCTCTGCTAGTTATGCAGACGTTCTGCAGCAACTCTCTAAGGACACATCACAGCAGGCGTCTCCCCCGTCCTTTGTGTGCCCGACGTGTGCTCAGGCCTTCGACACCGAGGTTGGCCTACGCACCCACCAGGCCCGCAAGCATCCAGGCTCGGTCATCAGATATGTCCCTCGAGGCTTCTCCCACACCCTCTCTGTAGGAGGGCTCCCCAAGTGTGCGGCTTGCAACAGGCAATTCCCTCAGATGAAGGGCTTAAAGGACCACTTGTTATCAGGTGCCTGCTCGGAGCCAGCTAGGCTACAGGAGCTCGATGATGCGGCGCACCCTCCCTTGGATTCGCAACATCAGCCCAAGTTGCATCCCAGGCAGCAGCGCTTGCACGACACTCTGACAACACACACGGCTGTGGAGCTCGGGCGATCTGATGAGTCTCAGGATCTTATGTCACATTGCTTGCTGTGTGGGTTCTGGACCCCGGACAATACCAAGCTCAAGTCTCACATCCGGCAGGCCCACAAACCTGAATGGGCGGCTCATGGCGCTACAGCTGCAACTCAGAGCAGCAAATCAGGCCTGACCCTTGTCAAGGGCATGCCTTGCCCGTGCTGCCGCAAGCCTGTTACGGATAAGAGGCAGCATCCGGCACAATGTCCGATCCTTTTTCAGATTCTGTTTTATGACTTGGTTCATGCACTTTCCCGCTGCCAGGGCGGACCGCTACGCAGGTACATGCCAGCGGTTGGCAGGACACAAGGCAACGCACCCAAACGGGACGATACCACCGCTGTTGGAGCAACGCCCCAGACTCGCCAGGCAACGCCTGCAGGCCCCCTGCCACCGAAGTCAGGGGCGGTAGAATCAAAGGACGGCGCGCTCGCTGCTCCCCGCTCGCTGCGCAACATCTCCAACTACTGCTATGTTAACTCAACGCTTTCGGCCCTGGTGCCGACGTGCATCTTGCTGGAGCACGGAGGGGCAAGCACCTCCCTCCATCAGGAAGTGGCCGACTCTGTCTCTGGTTCTCCTTTCACCCTGACTGCCTCTTTCACGCTTCGCCATCTTACTCCCACTTGGCGCTATGATGGCCAACAACAAGATGCTTCGGAGTTTCTAGTGGCCTTATTTGCAGGCATTACCGCCTTTCCGATTGCACGACCCTGGGAAGTCAGGGATGTAAACACTACTGAGGTCACCGATGCGGGAGGTCCGCTCGCTTTGCTGCCAGCTCCAACGACAGGTGGATCCCATGCACTTCAGGAGCTGCTCTCTCGGTGGTCTGGCCAGCCGATGCACACCGCCTTTCGAGGGCAGCAACGACTGGTGGTTCTCTCAGTGGCGCGATTTGTTGAAGGCCGCAAGCTCAGCTATGCTGTCACTGGTCTGCACCACCCCCTTCAGCTCTCGCAGTGGGCCCCGACGGGCTCCGTACAACTAGAGAAAGGATGGGTTCAATCCTGTATTTTCCACATAGGTGACACCCCGCACAGTGGACATTATCGCTCCCTCTGGAGGAGCAACCCCGATCAACCTTGGCTCAGCACGGACGATGGTCGTCCGTCGGTTCAGGCCTCAGATTCAGATCTCAGGCAAGCACGCCACGGCTGCTATGTGCTGTTAGTGCGACTTGGTTCATCACCGCACGCAGCGGAGGCTGGCCCTATGCCAGTCCAAGTTTCAGATGATTAAGCTGAGGGTTCCCCTGAGGCCAGGGGCCCCTACTTCCCCTTGCAGGAAGGGGGCGACCTACTGGCTCTGTGGGACCGACCTGCCTACACGGCAGGGAGCAGGAACGCTGTTGTTCAGTTTTGCTGCTCAAGTTGTACAGCTGACGTAGCTCTTCTACTCAGCGTTTGTGTGCAATCGCGGCCTATACCTGTCATGCTAGTCGGGCAACGCTCGCTGCTTTCCCAGAAAGGGCAACGCCTGTCAGCAACACAGCTGACCAATGGCTGAAATCGGCTTTACAAACCCCCACTCTCGGCTCGAGAAGGGGGGTTTGTCCGAGACCTAAAAATCAAGGTTTTGCAAACCCCCATTCTCGGCTCGAGAATGGGGGGTTGTCCGAGGCCCCCAAGCCATTGCCGGCAAGCCTGGCCTCTGGAGCCTCTTACGAATAAGGTTAGCCTTATTAGGCACAGTGTGCTAACCGCCAGGGTGTGCCACATCGTTCACCGATGCAATCTGCTTGCCCACAAAAGCGGAGCTACCTCAGATAACAGCACTAGCAGCCGTTCCACGTGCTCATCACCTTTGCGACCTTACGGCCCATCGCCTTTGATTGAGAGTGACCATGAGTGGGACGCCACGTAACAGGCACTCTGAGTGACGGTCCCGCGGGGTACGGCTCATCAATCATTGGTTCGTGGACATGGGACGCCATAGTCCACACTGAGGGTGACGGAGGGTTTCTCACCTACGCCTGAGACGCATGAACCGGCTTTTGAGGTAGCTTGTAGGGTAGCTCTCTCCTAACGTTAGCCTGTCTCAGCGCTTTCAGGCCCAGGCCCTTTGCAGTTCTGCTCTCAGACTTTTGCTCAGGTGCAACGGCAGTCTCACACGCCCGCAATGAGCAGAGCCCGCTCGCTCAGCGTCCAATAAAAATTGTTGTTGTTGTTGTTGTTGTTGTTGTTGTTGTTTGCTGGTGTTGTTGTTTGCTGGTGTTGCTGCTGCTGCTGCCGCCGCCGCCGCCGCCGCTGCTGCTGCTGCTGCTGCTACTGCTGCTGCTTTCTTTTGCCCGCCGACATCGTCTTCGTCCTAGTGTTGTTGATGAAGTCTTGTGTCTGTGGTCATTCTCGTCGTAGCGTTCCTTCGACCACTCTTGAGTTGCAAACCGTTGGCCCCTGCAGGCCGGTGCACGGGCAAGCAAGCGCCGAAAGTGAAAGCGCAAAAAGCCTCCCCACGGCCCACGGTGTGTCTTGTAAGCCTGCGGAATCCGCAAGAGAGCTGGGACTCGTCATTCGGGGTGCCTGCATTGAGGGCAGTCAACCTGGTCAGGAAGATGCACAAAATGAGCAACCTGCAGCTCCTGCCGAAATCGCTGGATTCTCAGCTTGGGCCTCGGAAGCGTGCGTAGATTCTGCTGGCCTAGGACTGGCTGGCCTCGTTGAAGGGCAAGCGGGTGCCGGCACTTGCAGAGGCGTGACTGCCAGTTTGCTTTTGCAGAAGCGCACCTCTTGATGGGTCCAGTTGGGCTTCGCTGCGATTTAACTGCCGCGGTTCGGCTCGCGACCATTCGGGAGCCCTCTGCACTAGCGCCCCGAGGCGCTGAAGGCTCCGCGCAGGATGCAGGGGTGTCTGGTGGCATGTCGTTCGCAGACGAAACTCTCGTTCAGGGCCTAGCGCGATGGGCAACACTTGTTGTCTCGGGCGAGAGAAGCCGCCAGCACCACCAGCGGCGCGAGCGGAGAGCGAGGCAAGCAAGGGCTGCGCAAGGAGGCTGCTGTATCCTATGCTCTGCGGCGGGCGGGCCCATGCGGGCCCTGCAACCATTTGGCCCCATGCAGGCCGTGGTGTTGTTGCGGCGGCGAGCCCAGCAGCCGCTGAAGCCTCAGCATTTTCTTGGCTTGTTTTGTGGGCAGACCAAGTCTTGCAGCAGTTCCGAGGTTGGGCGCCAAAGAGGAAGCTTGTGGAAGCAGCCACGGCAAGACCGGGCAGCACGACAGGCCAGGGGACTCGGCGGCCCGGGACTCAGTTGTGCACAAGGCGTGAGAACTCGAGCGGCCCGGTTTTTTCTGCTTGCGAGAGGAAACGCCGAACAAGGAAAAGGAGATGACACAAGAGGCCATGGACAACGCCTTCGACACGAAGGTTCTACCACACTTTCCATGCTCGGTTGATGAGCTGCATTCTATGAATTGGCTGGCTTGCCGCGAGGTCCGCTTCTTTGTTAGGGGCCTCCAGACAAAGGGACAACAGGGAGGAGACGAGCGAGAGTGGGCTGCCTGCGGCGATGCGGGCAGTCTGAAACCAGAGATGATTGCCTGCCAGAGTTTTGGCTCGCCTCAGAATTCCGTTCTCAGTTGCAGGCAGTTGCATGGCACAAGAATCGTGAGCCTCTGTGAGCGCGTCCTGTCGCTAAGGAAGGGAGCAAAGGCAGGGTGTGGGCACTGCAGCAACTCGGGTACGGTTTGCTGCGACTGATCATATGACTTGCTGCTGCTTCTGGCTTCTGGTTGCTGCCAGTCTATCGTGGCGCAGGCATCATCCAATCCTCCGAATCAGGACAATTTTTGTGTGGCCGTTTTTAAGAACGGCTACACCTTTGCGTGTGTCCTCGATGGCCACGGCAAGAAGGGCCGCTTGCCCGGCACGACTGTGCAGCGGGTCGTCGGTGAGCTTCGTCCCTCGTGCAGTAGCCTGGTTCTTGCAAGGACACATAGCGGCGACGAGAGCCGCTCAAACCATTCCCTTCCTGCTTATCGAGCAGGGAATCGGGGAAGAGCATGTCGCAGAGGCTACCATTGAGAAGGCCGGTTTCAGACCTCCCAATGTGGGTGGGTCACTGCCAACACCCCCAGCCCCAGCCGCAACGCTGCAAAGGCATTGATCCACGCCTTCGAGAAGGCGAAGCTGCTGATTTGGCACTTTGGAGGACTGAGGCATGACCGACTCCTGCAGCTCTGCAGGCCGATGTCGATCTTAGCGGTCACTTAGAGAGTGGCTGCACGGTGCGCCGGCTGCACATCAGAGCGCCGAAGCACGGTCTCAAGACTTCAACGAATCACCTTGTGCTTCTACATCCTAGAGCCTTGCATCATGACACCGTTGCTGATCGGGACAGTTTCGAGGCGGTGGCGGTCTTGTGGAAGGACTACGATGTTTGGACAGCAAATGCCGGCGACAGCCGCTGCGTCCTCCTGGAGGTCACACTCCCAGTCTTGGGCTAGCGACTCGTCAAGCTTCGCGTAATGCACCTGAATTTTCCGTGGCATCTCAGGACAATAAGGTGGTCTTTGCTACCTCGGACCACAAGCCAAGCTGCGCCAAGGCGAACCGAATCCTTATTCCCTGTGTGCCGGTGTGATTCCATCTGTGGCATTGCTGTTGCTTCAATGCAAGCTTCAGAGGTCGTTTTGCTTCAACGTAAGCCTCCGAGGGCTTGCTTCCTAGGTTTGGGCTCTCGGGCTCGGAATGTGGGGGTGTCACCTCTCCTGGTGACAGGAGAAAGCTCGCGTGGAGGGCAGCGGCGGCGAGGTCCGTGTGGAGGCCGGAGACGGAACAACGAGAAGCGACAGCCCTGCTGCCCTGTGTCACGTGGGTGAGAGTCTCTGCGAGTTCGCCCGAGGAGCAGGTGCCGCGCGTGTACGCAGCCGGCCAGCGCGGGCCGGGACTGGGGGTAACGCGGGCGTTGGGCGACGCCGCCGCCAAAAGCTGTGGAATCATCGCCACACCACAGGCTTGGCAAGGGTTCTCTGGTAGGGTACCTTTGCATAATATGTCCAGAAGGGGCAACATCTGCGCCTGGACAAACACAAGGAGGCCCCCGGCCATGCCACCAGGTGTGGATGCATGTCCCCATGCTTGCCGCACGTCACGAGGCTAAAGTTGTGCTGGCGAGCGACGGCCACGACCTCGACCTTCACGGCTCCTTCAGCGGCTGCTCATTCTGCTTTGCAGCCTGAGGCATCTGGGAGGTGGTGGGGCAGAAGGACTTGCCCTCTCTGGTGCAGGATGCCCCTTGGCCCCAGTCTGGTGCAGGCCCTTTTGGTCGCATCACATTTTCCGGCACTCCGGAGGCAGACACGGCGAAGTTGCAAACAGCCGCGTTTGAGGGTTGGGCCGCGCTGACAGGTCAGCCACTCAGATACTTCGCTGAAAGTCCCTCAAAAAATCGACCTTTGCCACCTTTGTTTGTGCTATTCTCCTTCACCCAGGCGGCGGCTACCGTGCTGGCACCTCAGAAGGGCTGTGATGACGCAGTGGATCTGGCAGCACCCGAAGCTCAGGACGACGTCACGAGCATGGTCTTTCCGCTGCGCTGCTAAGCAGCCCTGTGGTTCATAACGAGCTGCCAAGCAGCGCCACAGTCCACGATGTACACGAGGACCTGCGAAGCAGTCATCCCATGTGGGAACTGTCCCGGCACACCGAGACGTTTCTCGGCTGACCGGGGGTGCCATGCGCACAGGATTGCCCTGTGCTCAGAATCGACTGAAAACTTTAGACTCTAGAGTCAAGAGATCAATTTATCTATGTTATCTGACTCAGTCCTTTGGATTCTATGGGATTCCGAGGATTCCCATCTCAGGATCCTAGAGTAGAAGCATGGCCAGTCGTCACTCTATGCAGAGGACAAACCTCGCCCATGTTCAAGTTCGTGGTCGCATACATCAATTCGTAGTGACTCAAGCCTTGCTACTAGTTGCAAGAGCGCCTTTAATTTGACAATGGTTCTGTGGCATATTCAGTTTCAGACCACATTCCTCCAAAGCGGCAAAAATCTTTCAGTGCGAGCGTTGCGGTAGTCTCACCACCGTCATCGTCACCCATCATGATGAATCAAATCACCACCAACCCACGACCATCATCACCACATAGAAAGCTGTCACATTCGTGAAGGCACCCAGCAAGGCCGCCAAGCGCCCGAAGAGGCGTCCCAGCCCTGTGCTCCTTGAGACGTCCTTCAAGTGTCTCCAACTTGTTTGCAGTGCTTGGTGCATTTCCAGCAGGAAGGATGATGGTCGAGCATTGGACATTCCGCCATTCTGGCGTGCGTATCTCAGCAAGGACTGTATTTGTATTGCCTTAGCAGATGCGCAAGCTTCACACCTCAACAGCTGGAGCTTGATTCTTTTGCTCTTAGCGCTTCAGCTCCCTCTGGCTTCTCACTGAAGCTGCGGCCGAAAGCTCGGGTCGACGGTGAAAATTCAGTTCACCCGAGTAGAGTTTGCAAGTTCAGTCGCATGTAGCCCGACGCCGTTGAGCCGTGCCGGTTCGTCGGAGACCCCGAGGGCGCCTGTCTTACCCTGAACCGTAGCCGTGAACCCTTGAAGCTTTATACACTGCGGGAAGCACCCAGCAGTGCTGGCGTGATGCCACACTCGATTACAATCCAGGATTGGCCGGCTCTTGGCGCACACCACTGGCGCCTAAACTTTTGAGATTTTTCCGGGTCACGAAGTGTCGGCAAGACCTTTAACTGCCAAAGCTCGAAGGAAGCACACGAGAAAGTAGTTATTAGGCACTTCTCTGTTTTGATATAGCCAACCCCTGGGTACTTCTATTGCTTTTCTTTTCAGTTTGCCTGTAGCACCGGCGAGAGAACTCCCCCCCCCCCGGACTACTACTTTTTTTCGGTTCAGTGTGCTTGTCGCATCCACGACAAAAGTGGTAGTAGGCAGAGGCTTCCGCGGTAGAGGCTGAGGGCAGAGGCCACCCCGAAAATTCAAAAGGACTCCACTCCCAAGAAGTTTCTAGGACGTCATCACGGCTCAACGGAGATCCGCCATCACGGCTCCACCGCGCTCCGAGGCACCGCGTCGATTGAAGAGCTCAGCGAGTCGCTGCAGAGTCTCCGCGAACGGATGCTCCCGAGGATGCCGTGTTGAGACTTTTCAGAGGCCCTTCAGTTTCACGGCCGCAGCCGAAGCCGACCTCTGCAGGATTCGGAAGATGGCGAAAGACGCTCGAAGGGAAGATCAGCCGGGGCCCGACACGGCTCCGAGATGCCATAGTTCAGGATCCAGATGTCTGCCACGACGAAGACGATGCGTACTAATGATCATGGCTGCGGCGATGGTGATGCAGATTCCCACGAAGGCTTTGATTGTGATGGCTCTGATGATGATGGTGATGATGATGAATGGTGATGACGATGACGATGATTGTGCCGTTGCTGACTTGAGCATCGCCATGATTCTGGAACCCTATTTCAATTCTGTTTCCAATCTGCATTGTAAGCGTGGTAGCTCAACACTCTGAGAGCGTGGCTCATGCAAGCCGCTAGGTGCCGACGAGTTGCCCAACCCAGGTGCTCGCACAAAACTCCCCACAGTCCTTGGGAGCACCCCATAGAGACCGGAGAACTGACGAGGAAGCGCGGTGGCCACTTGAAACCTCGGACCGCTGCTCTCAACCGTGTGTGA